AAAAAAAAACGGTAAGACTTTCAGTTTTATTTGATGACAAGGAAAAATTTCAAGGGCAATACTACTAAAAATGAAAATGGTTCACTTAAACTTAAAATAATCTTTTACATACCCAGGTGGTTGAATATCACAACCACTGATCTTAAAACCATTTAAAGATGCTTTAATTTTTTTCTTTATACAATTCTGAATATAATAATTCAAAAACAGTTTTTGTGCTGATTATGAGCACCAATCACCTGTTATCTCTCCTGCTTCTCTCCCTGCTTGAGTCTCTTCCTCCAGTCTTAGAACTTCTACTACTATATTGCACAGGACTTGTTCTCCTATCTCCTCTATTTTCACGTCTATCAGCAGCTGGTCCCAATCTTCTGCTCCCTTGCCTTTCTTCATAAGAGTCCAGCCTTCTATCTGACCTACCACCTTGTCCTTCTCTGCCAGTCCCTGCTCGTCCAGATCTTTTATAATCCACACTGGAATTAGATGGACTGGACCGCCTGGATGATGAATTGCTTCTTGGTCTTCTGTCTCTTGAGGAATCTCTTGGAAGTCTGTTTCTTTCATTGTCTCTTTGTTGAAAGTCTCTGTCCCTACGATTGTCTTGAAATCTACCACCTTGCCTGTTCCTGTAGTAGCCATCTTCTGGACCCCTGTCTCTGCCATCACTGTCACTGTGCGGCCTATCGTTCCTCATGGCTGGGCCAAATCTGCCATCTGGGCCAAATTCTCTCTGAAATTCATCCCCACATCTTCCAAAGTCTGGTCCATAGTTGACAGGTGGTTGATGAAAAGGTGGACCTCCTGGTTGCTCATTCAAAGGAAACTGATTGAATCCTGGTGCCCCCTGTTGTTGTGGATTGAAACCAGGCCCTTGGTTGTTATATCCTGGTCCTCCCATTGGTGGGTAAGGGAGGTTACCTGTGGAAGTATTGAAATTGTTAAGTCTTTCAATGGTAAATTAGAAATATCCATCTAAAGACAGATGAGTATACATTTGCTTATCACATTTCCACCATATTTAAGTGAAGATGTAATCTGGTCATGTACGATTTTCAAAAAATTGGAAAACTGAATAACTGTTGTGGCATATTTTTTAATGTTAAAACAGTACTAAAACACAAAACAAGTGCTAAAGTGAGTGTACATGCATACTAAACACCATATATTTTATTAACTTTCCCAAATATACTTACTACAAATAATTGTAAGCTAAATCAAAGACATACCTTGCATATTCCCATAAGATCCCAATGGCCCTCTGCTTTCTCCAAGCTGAAACCCTGGCATCTGCTGGGGACCTGGTCCTCCTGGCATTGGCCCTCCAACTGGCATAGGAGGAGGCATCATGCCAGGTGGCCCTGGACCAAAGTTTTGTGGGCCTGGTGGCATGGGTCCTCCATAGGGTGGCGCCACTGAGGGGTCTGGATACATCTGTGACGGGGTGCCTGAATTCCAACCACCCGTTGTCTGAAGAAATACCAGTAAAATAACAATTTAGGTTAAGATATGCTATATGTTAAGTCATCTTCAACAGAGAGTTGCCACTATGTTCAAATCTGCTGGACAGCTTCTGTAAATCTCACGAATTTCATTTATCTATTTAAAAATATCCATAAACAGCCATTAAAACACTAATACTAATAAATTAAAATTCAGTTATCTTTAAATAATAAAAAAAGTAAAAGATCATTCCTACATCTTCAATGATGTATTGCTAATGCAGTTCTTCACTAACTAGAATAAACTACAGACAGTTATTTAACTTTAAGCGACCGATAGTCTGATGTGATAAAACAAAAGCCGCAGAATTACATGTAATTATTAGTTAAATGACCGTGACATTTAACGGCATTGAAGCATCTTGTACGCCAACTTACCCCACTCATTCCCTCTCTCTGGTACCGAGAATCGCCATATCTTCCCCCTCTATCTCTAAAAGACATTTTTATTGTTACACAGACTCACAGACACAGCATTTTTCTCTGCAGGGAAATCTCTGCGAGACGTTTCAGTGAAAGGTGAAAAAAGTTGTCATCGATATCCATTTAATGCGGTTTATCACATTTTATCCAAGATAGTCCTCAACCCTAGTAAGCATCAAAAGCTTACGTACAGTCGGAGTGGATCATGCACATTTTGAAAAAAAAAGTACTTTTGAAAGCACCAATCTTCTGGCACATCTTGTAGTCATGCAATTTTTGTTATTTCACACAAAATAAATAAAATAGACAAGAAACCAAAGCCCAGCTTAGATCAGTATCAATCAAAGCAATGCAAAAATGTTTCATAAAACAATATAGCTTTATTTCACTATAATTTCATACTGCTGTAACACTGAACAACATGTACATTTACTCAAAGTTGAGAAATACAACAATATCTACGCTACATGTACTATTATGCTCTTACAACACACTTTTAGCATTTAATTCACACTGTACCTGAATTTTTCATCACGTTTTGTAAGAAAACAACAATATCTAATATTTTTCACTTACTGTAGCATTCTGTTGTACCGCATAAAATAAACATAAGTTAACTAAACTCATACATATACATTTGCACACATATCTGCACAGCCTTTATGGGACATTTCATACATGGGCAATAAGAGATCATGACAATTGCTTGTAAACAATGCAAATAACACTAAATATAAACAAGGCAATCTTTTGCTTTTTTTTTTTTTTGCTTATGTTATCTCATTATAATATCAAATCCTCAAATGTGTTTTTAGTCTTTGGCCTTCCACAAACCTCCAAAGTGTAATGTAACATTATATGTGGGTGAAAGATAAAACCGTTTGCACAAATTTTTCAAATTTATAATACACATGTATAATAATATATAAAAATTATGCATTTCAATTTGACGAAAATCCATGACAATATTGCTTCCATCAAACTCTCTCTCTTTTTTCAAAGAGATATTTCAGATCCAAAATTTATAATGTTTGACTGAAATATATCCCAAACACAATGAGGACAATAAAATTGCAATAAGAATAAAGAAAAGTCATATGTACGATCAAGTTACAATCTAAACAAACAGAAAACAAAGGAATGACAAAGAATCACAAAATGCTTATTGACTTTGAAAATTTGGCAGGAGTCCAAATGCATCCATTACACTATAGCTCATTATGCACAGGTCCACTCATTCTAGGTCCTCTGTTCTTGTCTTTCTTCTTTTTCTTCTTGTTTTTCTTAATGTCCACTTTCTGGTCATCTTGCACTTCTAAATCTTTCAAGAGCTGATATTTACAAATAAGACAGAGAAGATAAGTGTTAGTAATTTTTCTCAATGTGAAAGGAAATCTAAAATGGTTTGCACAATTCTAACATGTTACATCTTACTTCAACATATAGCAGCAAGGATAAAACTTTAACTAAATTAAATTCTCCAAGACACATCCAAGTCTTTTAGGTCAAAACAGGCTCCAAAGGCAACTTTAACAGTATCTAGCATTTGACAAGGCCTTTTGTGCAGGAAAAGCCAATTGTTCTCATTAATTTTAACAAATTTACCACACTGTCATACCATCCTTTTTCATATTAACCCACCTTCTTGTTTCCTGAGGTATAGGGGTTCACATATGCTGGGTCTCTGTCCACTAAATTCATCTCTTGTGCCATCTTGAAAGTAACAAAAATGTAAGGAATAATTAAACAATAATCATATAAATATTATAAATATTTGAAGTCTTTATTCTAAAACCAAGACCCGCTGGAGTCAAATCTAAAATAGTACATCACAACAATTATTCTTCTTTTTAAAACATTAGTTTATATATTGCTTGGTAGCAAATTTTTTATGTCTTTCAGGGGCAGATTTAGGGCGTCTTCTGGGTCTTCCGGAAGACGGTCAGATTTTCAAGTTTACATTGACGGGTATCCAATTTTTTCTGTCGGAAGACGGTCAAAAATGAGGAACGGATCAACAAAGATAATTTGGAAGACTGTCAGAAAAATCTCTGAATCCGCTCCTGTCTTTACCTAACTGTAACCAGACAATTCTGACAAGAAATAATGAAAAGGGTTTAAGCCTATCAATAATGAATATTCTGGTCACTTAGTGACAATAAAAGAATTATAACATGTAAGATATCACTGAATTTTTCAGTCAGTAAAAAGGCAAACCATTATAATCACCAGATTCAACATCTTAAGATTGGGTCCTTCAAATATCTTGGATTCATTGCAAAATGCCACACTCCACCCAATGAGAAGCTGCCATTCTTTTTTCTTGTCTATCAATTTATGACTAATATCTGGCATTCTAAGAATGATGTCCCCGAAGAACGCTGTGTTTTCTAAAACATGAGAATGTGCTGAAAAAAAAGAGAAAAAATCTGATGTGTGCAATATGACAATACAATATTCAATCAGGATTGTCATAAATAATGTAACATAAGTGTGGTTTACATGTTTCAGTATTAACTGCTATGAAACTACCATGAGACAAATAGAGCTATATATAATAAAATGAATAGACAACTGGGCAAAAACTGCCATAAAACTAGCTTGAGACAAATAAAGCAAATGTAAAAACAATTGGGCAAAGATTGAACTTTTAGAGCTGATAATGTATTTACAGCAAATTTCATTTAAAGTAATTTAATATGCAACTTCAACAGCATCTAGCATTTGACAGTTACTGAGTATCTAGCATTAAACAGCAATCCACATGATGATACCTACTATACATGCTGATATATAAAAAAGTAAACAAATTTAAATTGCTAAGGCATAATTTTTATGCTAACATGGCCCTAGCACATGTACAGGGGTATGCATGGTGTACTCACCATCTCTGAGGGTCATATTCTTTGTAGGTATAGGGTCACCTGGAGTGAAACCAGACTGCATCAAAGTCAACTTGGAAGCAGCTAGCATCTGAAATAGAGAAGGTACAATATAAGTATAAGCCTTAGTTTATGATATACATGTAGGATAAAGAGTTCAATGTAGCTGGACACAAGTGCTTCAGCATTTCATACTACCTTTACTTAATAATTTTAAAATCATTAATATAACTACACACAATTGTTTATCTTGTTTTGTAATTTTGTTTTATTACTAATTTATTATTTTTACATTGTACAGTGCTCTGAAATGCATGTGAAACACCTTTTTTTTTTGAGAAATAATAATAATAATAATAATAATAATAATAATTATTATTATTATTATCATTATTATTATTACTTTAAGTCCAAGTTATCCACATGATTCTGAAGCACTGTTGTAAACATACCAGTACAGTACTGTATTATGGGTATACTAATTGAGCAACAAACTAAATTCAGCATACCCCCTGAAAAACTATAAAATCAAACTGTCCATCTAAAGCATTAAATTTAATCACCTGGAAGAGATTCTCAAATATTTTTGAAACCATCTTGTATTGTTTTTCGTAATTGTTGAAAGCAAGGATTTTCTTCACCGCATCCACTTGTGCTGCTCTCTTGTGCTTAAACATTTTCTTATCTGTTCTAAGTCAAGGTGCATTTCCATATTTTGCATTTCAAAATGATATAGCTGAGTTGAGAAATGCATTACTCATTAGGGATTTCCATTTTTAAAGTAATATACAGGGGCGGATTTAGGCCGTCTTCTATTTCCAATATTTTAACGATTTATATTCAAAATTCAATTTAGCAACCTC